CTGATGCATCCGACATATGTCCTTTTCGTTAACATCATGTGCACGGCAGTGTCGTCGTAATAGTAGTAATAGTAGTAGTAGTCGTAGTAGTAGTAGTAGTAGTTGTTGTTGTTGTTGTTGTAGTCGTAGTAGTAGTAGTAGTAGTAGTAGTAGTAGTAGTACTAGTTACTGTACTAGTTACTAGTACTAGTACTAGAACGGTAGCAGTGCCAGCACCAACATTCTCTTAGTAGCTGTCGTCTCTTACTGCTTCATGACTCTTTTTTCGGCTCCTATGACCTATGAGACCTGGACAGATCAGCTATTCCTTCGATTCCGAGTCAATACTTTCGAGTTTCCTCACTTGGTACTAGTATCGCTTCGTGTTCCTCACTACAGCTACATAAAGTAGAAAATACCACCCAAAAGTTCCCCACATGTTTTTCGAGTATCAAGGCCCATATGCCCCTAGATTGTTCTTGAAAAGTACTGGTGCTCAGAATGGATGGTTCTCTGTCGCAGCAGGAAGGGCGCGGCCTGCGGCAGCAGCCAAATGGAGCGGCGTGCGCATGTCATAGGCCGTCCCTTCCTGGGCTAACGGTTCCTGTTAGGCCTCCAGAGTGCACAAGAGTGGCTTCTATAACACGGATTTTAGGGTCTTGTGGGTTTAGGTTTTCGGGTTTAGGTTTAGGTTTTTGTGGGTTTGGTATTTCGGGATTTGGGTCCACAGTGGCATTCGGCTTTCAGCATTTCCAGGTAGGACTGCGGGGCTGTAGGTCTGCAGGACTACATCGCGCTGTGGTTTAGGGAGTTCTGGATTGCTGATAAGTGGAACGGCCTGTAGGCTCCAGGATCGAAGAATTCTAAGAAGTTCTGGCACGCGCAGTGTCCAACTAGGTTCAGAAGCCTGGCTTCAAGATTACAGTCTGGCAGGTGGTACATTGGTACGGCCGCAGAATCACAAGTACAACAGCTAACTTATTCTGTCTACAACCACTAGTAACTAGTATGGCTGCTACTGCTGCTGCTGCTACTGCTGCTGCTGCTGCTACTGCTGCTACTACTACTACTACTACTACCACTACTACTACTACTACTACTACTACCACTACTACCACTACCACTACCACTACACCTACCAC